GTCCAGAATCTGGGAAATGAAAGGAGGTACATATACAAAGACCCTCGCCAAGATTCAGGTCAGAGGAATATTTCGTATACGAGATATCCGAAGAAATGTTTTACCCAAACTTCTAGAGATTTGTATGGAGACGCCAGCATGCTGGTGCTCACCTGGATGAGCTCCAACATGGCGGACGGAAACCAACAAAAACGTCTGTTACCGATTTTTGCTACAAAAGCGTGAATTCATTCTTCGACAAACTCATAAACATTAAAGTAATACTTTTTCTAATACATGAACTGTTTAAATAGCAAAATTTCCTGAAATAAGTCATTTTTTAAATTTACATGACAGCTCTCTTGGCCGTCATGTAAATGCCGCGTCACCCAAAAGCTTAGAAATTCAAGCGTACTCTATCATAAAACCAAGAACCCTTTTGAAGCGAAAATTTGTATGAGAATTAGTTTTGAGCTGCTCTAATGCATCGTAGAAGTAACATCCCGGTAGGATAGTAGGCCTTAATACGTCATTTTGGCTATCTGGTATTGTTCCTTTTTTTAAATAAAATATTCCCAAGAGACATTTTTGGAACTATGAACAATAACATTTAATGTATGAAAAGTGAATAATACTTTAATTGTCGTAACATGAGAATTATATTATTTTAAAGCGTTCTTCTAACAGGCTTCACTTTTGTCGTGACCCTTTGCGAACTGTAAATGGTGACCTGATCAATAACAGGTAGACTGTGTACATGAGTTTATTGTGGTTTCGCGGTTGGTAAGGACACTGCTGAAGGACGTAACGAAAATAAAAAAAAAGAAATGAAAATACGCCGAAGAGTAGTTACTTTAAATCATAAAAGATTGAACCATAACAAAAAAGTTTCCGCAATGCCCAGAAACAAACATTTCGATGTTTGCGCAAAATGGCACGTCCCTTAATTTTCTAAAACCAAGGATAAACGAAAGTTCGAATACTTATTTCGCTCATTTGAATACTAGTCATTTTGTACATCTTGTACATAATTTTAAGCTCCAGCCGAAGAACACGCCAAATGTCATGACCCGCTTCACCACACCCCTCTCTTTTCACGTTTAGTGCTCTCTATTTGTTCCGTCTAATTCGCGACGAGAAGATAGCTGAGCTGTGAGAACATTGTACTAAAAGAAATATAACTGAATGGCAGGTTTGAATCATTAACTTCCTTTTTTAGAATCTTTTTTATAGTTTTAATCGCTTCAATTGAAGCAATTATATATATAATCCTGGTAAGTAATATCGTTTTATGCGTGATTTGAAAATTGGGTCAATTTACGTCATAAATGATATTATTACTTCTCCCCATAAAGCCGCTGCTAAATTAAGAGAAAGGAAGACAGCAAGTATTTCTCAAAGATCTAGATTAAACATTTCCTCTAATGTAAATTAATTAATGAGAAAGGCTTGGACAATATGTTAGGGTTCAAAAATTAAAAAAATCATGTCGATTTTTTTTCCGTGAAAGGTCCGAATCCCGTCGCCGGGACTCGCAGTCCATGTTTCGTTACAACCATCACACAGCTCAGGCCTTTAACATTAATGACCTTGCTGTATTAATGAAGCATGCGTCATTTAGCAGCCAACTTGAATTATCGTAGGTCGTAATGTGAAACGCTCGAGGAGGACTCAGATCTTTTCGGCTTTATCTCAGGCGTGACACAACAAATCACTTAATTGAATATTAACTGAACTATTCAATGCTGCTCAACAACTCAACATTTCAAGTACGTACTCAATATCGCAACAAGTGTACAAGGAAACGTCAAATTCGCCTCTAATGTATGGAAAACACTTCAGATAATCCCGTATTCCCGTTAGCCATGATCGTTGGCACAAAATCGTTGCGACCCTTTATCAAAGTGGAGGGGTACCTCAAAGAATAACACAATCTGAACTATGCACTCAAAGTTAGAGTGTTTGTTGCCTCTTAAAGGTAGCTCGTGCAATAGTAGGTTGGGGGATTAAAGAAAACTTCACTTCCCCCTTTCGAATTCGGTAAAACGTCTCAGAGGCCATTCAAGTGTCTCGGGTAATTTTATCTCCGATTGTAGGCCTGTACCCTCACGGGACCATGCAATTTGTTCAGGTACAAACCCTCCAAATATGCGGCGTACTCGAGTGATTCGCTCGCTCTTCTACCCGTGACAGGAGCGTAGCCAGCAATTTGCTTTTTTTTTTCCTCAACAACACTTTATTACACATTTACATACAAAGGAAAAATTACAAACATTATAAAAGAAACTTGAAAAAAGTAGCAGAATTACAATTTGCAAATTAAAGTTATCGAAAATTGCAATTGAAATTATCTTTACACTCATACATGAAAAATCAGTAACTTTTATTTTTTTAGTTTTATTTTTACATAACATAGTAAGGCAACTGACGAAAAGTATATTTGCCAGTATGATGAAGTATTTCACATATATTATACGCAAACATATCCACAATGGCTTTAAAAAGGAAAAACAAACAAACAAACAGACAGACAGCTAAAACAGTTAAAGTATTTAATCTTTAATCTACAGAGCGCCGCCTACATTTCACCTCGGCAGAATAATACATTCGTTTAAAGAGCGGAGGTTTTTACTCGAGACCATTTCTTTTTATGTGTCTAAGGAATTATGGTCTTTTGCAATTTGCCTTTCTATTTCCAAAGAGCGTCAAGCTATTTCTATGTACATTTGGACATTTGGGCGCGTATCTCTTTGTTTGCAGGTGTAGATATAATGCCTAGCAATAAGTAGTAAATGGTGCAGTAGTAAATCTTTTGCATTTTTATAAGCCAAATAAGAGAGCACCTGAGAGGTTGAATTTTTCTACTTTGGAGGTGTTTCGCATTATCCATTGATAGCAGTCTTTCCAAAAGGCGTTAGAATATTTACAGGTCCAAAATAAGTCAACCAGCTTTTCCGTCGCTTCTCCACATAAGGTGCAGGAATCAAACAGTTTAATTCCTATTTTGTAGAGAGAATCATCGGTTCTCTTTCAGTTTTGTTTCCTTAGTACATCAAAATGGTAATGAGTATGTGCTTTCCCAATTAACCGCCTCGTTTCCTATTGAGTCCTCAGCCAACCATTTACCTTGGCTTTTAAGTGGTGTTGAAGACTTTTTTTTTCAATGAGGCGCTCATAAGCTTTTTTGCAGAATTTTGTTGGGGATAGGATAGTTTTAGGCGCACCTTTGGTTTGGTCGTTACCGTTGATGGGCAGTAGTATACTATCTTTAGAATTAAGCCTCGTGGGTGGATTCCCTTTGGGTTCTCTTCATTACATGTGCAGGTTTCCGTCGGGTTCCCTAGGCTTGCCCGGTAATTAAATTGAGCATGCTAGGGAACATGTCTTGAAGTAGGAGTGACGTCAATGAGAAGAATGAGGACCAAGGAGAGTTTACGTCAACGAGGACTTACGTAAATTGAGTACTGACGTCGATACGGTGTCTAGCTAGCTAGGAAAAAGTGCCTTCCTCCATACTAATTTAAGTGCCTTCTTAGGAACAATAGACTTGCCCGGTAACCAACTTGAGCCCGATTTAAACATCTATTAAAAGAGAAATAGGAATAAGAAAGAGGTCACCTAGCAACGCGAGAAACGGCTTCCTGTATTTGATTTAGCGCTAAAAAAAATCGGAAATATCAACAAGACACATACACAAAGTGGAGCTAAAAACTAAGTCCTTATTCCAATTTTGTCTGACAATTACAGAACCGTTTTCTCCTTTCTACCTCGAGGACATGAAAAACGATTAAGGTCTTGTCATTTTCACGCACGGTTAGTCAGTTAATTATGCGAGTTCACCAGCCCAAAGTTGAATACAAATTAGTTCTACAAGGAAAAACCCCGTGGGAAAAACTTGACATATTAGTATGGTCTAGTATAAAAACAATTTAAAATAACTTAACAAGGATCAATAAATTGACAAGACAAGACATACCGTTTTAAAAACTCTATTAAAAACCAAAGACAAAAAGAGTCAAATACACACAGCGATTTCAAGCGGATGGAAATTAATTAATATTCATCTTCTTCGCCCATGGAGTACTTGTAAGGTTTGAATTTGCTATGCCGACGTTTCCTCAGCTGTTTGGCATGAGCTTCATGATCATCCAAATAATTTACAAATTGAATCCGACGCCTTTTGCCCTTCGGGCCTTGTTGTGATGGGGTTTCTACTGTGGGAGGAGGGGTCAGGAAAGTAGGATTTAAGCGTGGTGGAGGGGCGAGGCTTTCTTTGTCAAGTTTTTGAGAGATAGCCGCTTGTGTTAATAGACCTTTTTACCGATACGGCGGCCATCTTGATTTAATTCGATTTAAGGAGTATTATAGGATGCCCAGGGGGCATGAGCACATTTCGTTTGTATTTTCGAGCGCTTTTCGGGACATTTTTTCTTAAAGTTTTCTTAGAATAAGATTGTGATGGGAAAAAAGATTCTTGTGCCGTCTTTGGATGTAATAATGATAGCCTTTTTCTAGTTTAGTATTAGAAACATGGTCTTTCACTGTATATTTCTCGGCAAAAATGGCGATCATTATTACATCCTGCACCAAAGCCGTAGCAATTCCCTTGACGAATTCAATGGCATGGCATGGCGACTAGCATTTCTGTATACGCGAGCTGCCATTGTGAATAACACCAAACGATCCTCTCCGGGGGAGGGTAAATGGTCTCTGAAGCTTGTTGCAACAGAGATCGAACCCACGCCGTTTTTCCGGACAAGGTCATTTCGGCGATAATGGAGGTGAAAGGATGCTCGAAGCGAAACCGCTTACATTTCTGTGAAAACATTGACACTGTTTGAAATGGGGTAAGACCAGCCTTGCGGTGTGTAGACATCAAGTGCCTTTGCATACTATCTTTTCTACTAAAGGATTTTTGGCAAACGGAACAGAGCCAACTCATATCAACTCCTCAGGAGCAGAATGTAGACTGAGAAAGAGGAAGTATGTGGAGCATTTACATAGGATTTCAGGCCATAAAATTATATTGTTTTCTTTCCCTCCACCTCGACCACCACCGGCACCATCACATTTCCATTGTTCTCTTCCACCACCAGCGCCACCACCATATGTCCATTGTTTTCCCTCCACCACCACAACCACGTCATTTCTATTGTTTTCCCTCCTCGAGATTCTATAAAAGACTACCAACTGCCATTCTTAGTTCATTTTGTAGCAATGTCTCGTGTAGTGAACAACAATCGTGGTTTTCTTCAACTGTTAGCTGATCGCCCTGCTTTCTCCACAGCAACTACATGCACTAGTCCAAGTCTTATACAATATGGTTGTGGGACACATTCCCATCCCCGAAGAAAATAAGCGGATGTTGCTGCCCTATAAGGATGCTTTACTTGATCTGGCCAGTCCAAATGTCCCTTACAAAACAAAGAAGCGAGTCCTTGTACAAGAGGGTAGTGGTTTTATTGAAGATGTATTAGCCCTTATTGTTTCAAGCTTAGGATTTTTAATGCTAAAAAAGAGGTGACGCATCGCTACGTTGAACATTCGAAGCGAAGTCTGTTACTGGTACTCATCAAAATGAAGAGAAAGATAGATTTGGTTGAAGAAGAACACGAGAGTGAACATGAAGAAAGCGAAAGTTCTGGTGATGAAAGCGGCGAGGATGAAGAACTAAGAATAAAAGAAGAACCAAGAATAAAGGATGTTTTGAGTCATCTTTCCCGTGCAGTGTCGGAAAAGAGTGCTTCTGATTTGCTGCATAGTATGGCCGCTGCCAAAGATATCCTTTTCTGGACTCCCGGCGGACAATTACTTCGAAATAAACGCACTATTCCCGTCAAAAACATCGCCGAGCTAGATGAGTATGTGTTACTCCCTCGTAACAATGAGGTTACCAAGCCTTGTGCGCTGAATACTTTTTAGATGGGCTTGCAGAGTTAGGAATCGATAAAGGTTAATCACGAACAAAAAGTTGTTAAGTGACTTAATAGAAAAGGAAAAAGGCCACCGAACTGTAGAAAATACTCCCGATAACGACAGTAATAATGAGGAGAGTTCATCGGATATTGAAAATCAAGAGGAGGAGGAGGAAGTGGCTTCTGACAATGCTGAAGCCAAGGGAGCGACAACGACACTGAAAACAACAGCCAGAAAACAGAAAGTAGTTATGCAGCCCTGAAACGCCCACCACCTTTCAATTTAAAAGTCTCTGTGAACATTGCGAAAACTCTAATAAGTACTCGACATTCATCATTATCGTGCAAAGGTAAAGAAGACCCTCCGGGAAGCCCTCTAATTTATTTTATTTTAAACAACATTTGGTCAGGGGTGCCCAGTTCAGCGAGGCTGGTTTGAATGGGACCCTGATGAAAAAGAAAAAACAACACACAAGACATAATGATAAAAATGGTAAAACTTAGGATAACAAAAGTAAGGGCGGTTCATTTAGGCTTGGATCTAAAGCGCCTTTTTAGGCAAAATGCAAACTTATTAATATCATGCTCGCTCCTCAGGGCCAGAGGAAGCGTGTTCCAGGTCTTCGCTTCGCTGAACCTGAAGGAGCCCCGGTACTTAGTTGTCCTAGCAAGTGGGAGGCGGAGCAAATCTCTATGGTGCGTGTTATATGAATGGAAATCGCGCATCAGTGGCTAGATTCATTTTGTAAATATGATGGAGCCAGGCCATAAAGGCTTTTAAACACTAGCATGCACTTAAGATATATAGTCCCGGCGGGACTGGAGCGTAGGCCAACTGAACGTTCGAGATGTCTGCGATTGTGAAACTGTAGCCTTCAGTAATACTGGCGGCACGCCTATGAAGATTGTCCAGGGACTCTCGGTCAGTCTTACCGCAGGAGTGGTCCGCAAATTTTGCAAAAAGAAAAACACTTTAACAAATATCGAATCAATACCAAGAATAAGAAATTTAGCAAGCGTTCATACTTATAAAAGAACAAAAGTTAAGAAAGGCTCTCTAATGATCCGCACACTTCGCAAAAATGCCAAAAATATAAAAACAAGAATTTTCATCGCAAAAATAAAAACACTTTAACAAATATCGAATCAATACCAAGAACAACAAATTTAGCAGAAGTTCATACTTATAAAGAACAAAGGTTAGAAGGGCCTCCAGAAGTCCACAAATTTCGCAAAAATCGCAAACGAAAACTTTCGGTGCTAAGAAAGAAACAAGCTAACAAATATCGCAAAACTAACAAGAATACCAAATTCAGCAAAAGAGTAAAGGTAAACAAGGCCCTCTAACGGTCCGCAAATTTCGCAAAAATCAACAACAACAACAACCAAAATTGTTCCAATTTGCAAAAGTTCAGACTTGTAAAGAATAAAGGAAAAGAAGGCCTTGGGGTACGCAAAAGTAAAAAAGAATAGCCAAGAATTGCGCATTAAAAAGAAGGGCAAAAAGGGGCCAAGACACCCGCGCGTCAGTGTTTCTTCCCGACCGATAGATATAGAAGTGTCAAAACCCAGTGCTCACAGACGGGCGCAAATGCTAGAAACAAACGTAAACGCAAGTAGAACTTTTCATGGCCAAGAACCCACCATAAAAAACGTCCCAAAGTAACAAGAATAGTAAAAGGCGAAATCTGCCAAATTTTCGAGGCCCTTCCTACCTTTTCTCTTTCTAGCCCTAGAATTTTGTTAAATTTGCTATTCTTTGCGAAATTGGTTTCTCAGTCTTTTTCATAGCAAGAAAAATTCTTGTCACTTTTGCGATTTATGCGAAATTTGTGGCATTCTCGACAACCTGCTTGACCTTTTTATTTCTATGTGTAGAATTTTGCTAGATTTATCATTCTTGCCATTTTTGCGGAAATTGCGACCTTTCCGAGGCCCTTCTTTGTCTTTTCTCTTTGAAGTCTGAAAACTTTGTTAAATTTGTTTACTGTTGCTACTTTTGCAATATTTGTTACTCAGTCTGTAAAATTTGCGGCCTTCTTGAGACCCTTCTCGGCCTTTTCCCTTTCTAAGTCTAGAATTGTGTTCAATTTGTTATTCATGCTATTCTTTGGATATTTCTTACCCTGTCTTTGTAGATTACAAGGATATTTCTTGTTACTTTTGCTAAATTTGCGACGTTTCCGAGGCCCTTCTTTGCCTTTCCCTTTGTAAGTCTAGAATTTTGTTAAATTTGTTAGTCGTGCTATTTTTGCGATATTTTCAATTAAGTGTCTCTCAATATTTTTTGGAATCATTTTTTTTTGCTAAAATTGCGAAAAAACATTGCGTTGCAAATTTATGCTACTGCGTTCGATCAAGGGTATAGCTCAAATTTTCACGACTCCTTTGTCTCGCATTTTCCAGAAAAGACTTGAGCATAAAAACCAGACCAAATATTATAGAAGAATGACCAGAAAGCCTCAGAGTCATTTTAAAATTTTGGCGTATCGAACGTGGGTTATTATTTATAAAGGACTCTATTGCACTCATCTCATATCTTCAGTCTCTCAACGGTGGGGGGGGGCAATAGAGACGTTATCTCTCCGCATGTTTGGATTGCGCGCAGAACAAACAGGGATCAGCTTTATCTCGGTATCCAGGCGCGTAGCTGGAGTTTCAGAAGGGGTGTTCGTTTTGAAATTGAGAGCCAAATGCGGACCGAGCACTGTCAGGAAGAAAAGGAAAAACTTGGGGCAAAAATACAAGTATTTAAAAACACGTTTCATTTCAAGGCTCGAACTGAAGAAAGCGTTATGATTCTGCTTGTATGAATAAAGAAAAACTCTTCACATGTGTAGATACAAATAAGTTCGCTCTTATATTTGACTCTCCTGTTCTCATGTGTGTTTTTTGCGTTCCTTTCAATAAAATGACATCTCAGTGAAACCAGAAGGAATAAAGAATGAAAAGACAGTTGAAATTTTTCTGAGACTTTGTTAAAGGTCCACGCTCTATGCGTCCGGTCATGGGTATTCATAAACTAAACATCCTTGGGTGAAGACTTCCAAACAGAGTGACAATTTCTTCCAGATCATCAGGTAAATCATACCTGATATGCATTGCAGCAAGGGAGGAGAGCCTAGTCTCGCCCGTGGTAAACATTGTTATTCAACGTGCACCAATTCAATAGTTCATGTATATTGCTTTGAACTTTGACAGTGTACCCAAGTCTTCTTAGCAATGCTTATTAAGAATCTAAGCGAATCTAAGCTACGACCGTAATAAAGTTAGTAGTTTTCTGAATTTTTCCAGGGTTTTCTACAACCTCAATAGTTACGTTCCAAAGGTAGTCCGTCCGAACCCCTCAACCCCCCCCAATACGCGCCTGGTATCGTAGATAGAAAGTATGTTTTTACCTTTCACTTAAAGCTGCTGGCGAAACAAACAAACAAACAAACAAACAAAACAAACAAAACTGCAATAGTCGGCGTTCAAACCTTTTCCTAACTCACACAAAAAGAAATAGTACAAACTGGACTCTTTAAGGTTATAACTTTGCTATGTCAACTAAGGTCCGGTCACGCCAGAGTAGCCTCAGATTATCTTCATGATCCAGCTTCTCGCTGACGCTTTGTCGAGGCATCTAGCTTATCGTCACCACTTTCTAAGCCCTCGTTCTGACGTCCTTTGAAAACGTTCACTATATATTGATCGTAATCTGTTTCATCATTTTCCTGTCTCTCATTACTATTAGGATGCACTTCGTTGGCGTTTTCTTCTGCAGCTAACTCAAAAGAAGGGTTTTCGGCTGCTTGACCCGGGTTTTCATTTCCAGTCACTGCCAGCTGCAAATCGTGGCTACTTTCATCTTTCTTGCTTATGTTACCTAGTCTTTCTGTGCTAACTCTGACTGAGGGAAATGAGGTAACTGAAGGCTTCCAACACAGCAAGGACATATAAACAGGCATAATGCACAGACCGTGAATAAGACCAAATCCGACGATTCCAAGGAACATTCGGAAAAAGATTCGGAATATCTCGGACGCAGCAAATGCTAAGACGATCATTCCAAGGAAGGTACTGAAACCTAAACGACACACAAAAAAATAAAAATAAAAATAGACAAATAAATAAAAAACCAAGGATAAGATCGAGCCGCACTATAGATTTCGCATACTTCTTTTCAATTTTTTACATTGGAGACTAAAATCATTTAGTATATACTAAAACAGTGGATAGTGTTTTTCGCGTTCTCTGATTGGCTACTCAATCATTGAATACCCAGCCCTATTCACTGATTCGCCTCCAGTTCCTCCGAGCGAGCGACGCCAAACTGGCGTAAGTTACGAGCAAAATGGATTCCCGGTTTGTTGCCATAACAAACAAAGAAATTTCACAAATAATCAAACAACCTGTTCCTGAAATACACCAGGAAGGCGACGTAATTTGGTTTGGGAGTTTACAAATACAAATGAAGCTTAAGTCTTGCGTTACTTTATTTAGCTTACATGTTCAAAAATAAGCTTTAAACTTAATTTAATGATTTTTTTACATAATGGTTTTTAATAGAAAGAGAATTCACAACTCCTTTTCAAGAAATACCTTCAAAAGTTTTATTTGTCAACAAGAAAACAAGACGGCCGTTCGGTCATTGCGCGCCAAGATTGTAACGAGATCGTTGACAACAGTGAATGAGTTAAAAAGATCATTTTTTGCTCAATTATCTCACTGTTTTTGTATATACTAAAACAATTATTCACCGAAGTGGAGGTGACTAGTGGGAAATTTTACCGAGCCGCAAAGCGGCGAAATAAATACCCACCACTAGCCATCGATTAATTGTTATCTATGTCATCTGCGCCTTCGTCGAATACTGGCATCATACAAGTGTAAAATTTGATGTTCGCGAGAAAGGTTGACCCACTAAAGGCGTCCTCGTGATTCGAAAGTAAAAAATTCTAAGCATATCCCTCAAATCACGCTCGCCGATATTATTTTCGCCCGCCCGTTTACCGTCTATTTTGCAATACTTCTAGATATGACGTACCATGTTTGCAACCCATAGTGACCCGCCCAAATAGAGAGGCATGCGTTTTTTAAGCGATTTTAAACTAGATTCGCTTGCCGTTAATTTGATTATGTTCCACCGACACGCTGAAACCGATACTATGTGCTTGTATTAATAAAGAAGCAACGGTGCTACGTGAAGGTAAAAATCCTTATTTCACAACATTAGCTTCTAACAGTACTTATAAGACGGAGAAATGTGACACGGACGGTGCGCTTATTTTACCACCATCGGGTTTTTAAAGGTAAACGTAAAGCTACAAGGAAAGGAAAGAAGTCAAAACAAGGATTTGAAGTCACACGTGGAAATGGAACTCGGAACTTTCAGCACAAAACGCCGCGTACTAACCGACTTTGCTAGTCTTGGTCTCTCTTTGCTCTACAGCAAAATAAAACTCTATGGGTAGGTTATTTAAACGAAGTCTTAGGAAATCTTTCCACCCCCAGGCCCCGGTTGTTCAAGCGTTGGATAGAGCTATCCACAGGATGAATCACTATCTAGCGGATGAGTATTAGGAGGATCTCAACGTGGTGGTAGCTTTGGCGGCTCACGGTTATTTTTTTGGCCATTTTGACGGTTGACGCCTTAGAGCCTTTTAGGGCTGACAGTTATTTAGTGAAAATTTTATCCAAGATCGATTTAAAGTTAAGATTAACTTCTGTATAAATCAATATTAAACGTTGTGTTTTGGAGGTTGACTTCGCTTTTCACATATAAAATGTCGAAATATTTTGAGATATTAGAACGTTGTAAAGTCTTGTAATGTCGAGTAGTGTTTTTGAGAACATGGTCAGTGGTTTTTCCAGTTAAAAGATTTTTCAGAAGCCAAGTCCGTGAAAATCAGCTGAAATAGTGAGATTTGAAATACCTTGAAACGTTTTGACGGTTACTATTACTCTACATTTTTGACGGTATACGGTTAAATTTTAGGCCGTTTGACGCCTGACGGTTAGCACCATTGACACCCTCTATAAGGGAAACCAATTGCGTTATCCACTGGACAAAGATATATCCAGTGGATTGCGTTATCCAGCTTTTGAACAACTGGGCGAGATCTCTTCCGCAGAGGGTTATTTTAAGAAGGCAAATGCTTTTATAGTCTCCACCATATGCTTTCATGAAGATGTTCATCATAAATGGTTTTTAAATAAAAGAGTTCGGCGAAATGAAAATGGCCGAGAACGCGATTTTGTTAAACACTGGCTAAATTCCTTTTAAATAACTGGGCCTATTATCCAGGTGATCTCTAGGTGTCCGTTTTTGGAACATTTTTGTTGTATAGCAGTGTCCAAGGTCCGTTATGATAGGGTTGACTATACATTGAATGAAGTTGACCTACCTCCCATGAGTACACTTGCACCCAGAGTACTCAGAGCATCTACCACTCGGTCATTTGCTGATAACTTGTTGGAAAAAACGTACGCATGCGCAATGTGTGCGCTGTAATCAACTGCAAAACCAATAGCCATAACAAGATTTATCATGGACACAGCGTTGAGTGACACACCCCAAATAACCATTAAGCCAAACAGTTCGCATATCAGGGCGGCAAAGTTGAACAACACGAGGATTGCCACTGTGCAGTCAACCAAAAAGGGACTGGTGACAACAAAGACTGTAATGGCAGCGATTATGAGGTTCCGTATAGTTTCACGTGTTGTGATAACATACTGTTCAAAGAAAATAAATGCACGTGTAATGGGGAAGGCCTTGAGGTTGGACTTCGTATCAAGATCTCTGCGAAGTGATTGCATAGCATTTTTTTGGAATGTAGACTCGCCGTTGCTTTTCATGAAACCGATAATGCGCGTAGCTTCTAGCGCGGAGCCATCAGTAGAAAACTTCAGATCCTGAGCGAAGAATAAAAACTCTGTTTGATTGAGAAAGTATTTCAAACCAGGCAAAAATGCTGGACCGATAGCGCTGATGTTAGCCATTCTAGCAAACTTTGCGAAATGGTCCATCCATGACAAAGATCTGGCTAGGTAATGTTCATTGTTGTTCACAATGTTTGTTAGGTTTCTGATAGCTTCCTGTGTAGAGGGTTTCTCATAACCTACGTTTCCAGTTATCACAATGCTGACTTCAATAGAAAGTTCAAAGTGCTCTGCTTCTGCGGTCAGAAATCGTTTCAAGTACGAATCATCTTTCGCTAGGATCCTTCTGTCGAATTTCTCGTCTACTTGTAAGACTCCATATATTCCAGCCCCAAGCAAACCCAGAGATAAAACGATAACGACCACCTTTGTCACAGGATATGTAAGAAACCTGCCCCAGGTCCCCATAGCGCGATTCGATAACTGTGGGCTAGGCTCGTCCCAGGCTGGTGCGCCCTCCTTTGGCTGAGGTGCTCGGCAGAATGGTAAGCAGTCTCGACGACCTGATTTTATTCTCTTTACGTCGTATGTCATGATGGCCACGAAATAGGTGATGATCATTATGTAGGAGAATGTCACTGTTAGAGCCGCATAGATACAAAAATACCTGATAAATAAATGGCTAGAGTTAGTGTTCTTTTAAACAAAACGGAACCTGTATGCGCAATTCACTTGTACGTACATTACATTCATGAAACATGACAAGCAAATGTCAACATGGGCTGTGAAGGATTAGAGAAAACATTCCCTTCCGATCTGTATGGGCGTTAACAGTGCAAAAACTTAGCCTGTCCACAGACCCCCTATTTTCTCTTAAGAGATTTTCGAGCGCGCGTATGAACTAAGATAAAAATCGCGGGAGAAGAACGTCTGTGGACAGGTGACCAGAAACTTTGTTTTCATTATTTCGTCAAAACAGTAAACGTTCACACAGAAAGTCTGTTGTCGTAAGGCTTGAAATTTATATTTGTAAGGCCCTAACCTTATTGCAGGAAAAGAAGTGGAAGTACTAACTGCAAACGCCACCAGGTCAGTCACAGTTGTCATGGTAACGGTGGCACCTGAATGGGCCATAACAGCTCTGATTATTTCGGTCAGTGACATGTCCCGTGGCTGCCGATCAAGTTCATCCACTAGAATAAACATGTCATCGATTCCAATTCCAAGAACTAAAAATGGTAAAACGCCCACGATACTGATGAAAGGAACCCGACACCACATGGCAAGGCCGAACCCAGAGAGTATCCCAAGGGCCACTGCGAACACCCCTGCATTAGCGAGCAAGGAGTGACCGGTCAGCGGATTCAGAAATTTGCCCAGCATGACGCAGGCAAATGTGATCATGAGAGTGAAAGTGATTGACACCAGAGTGACGTCAGAGCCACTGCTTTCGGCGATAGCGTCGTCTAAACTTCTCCCGCTTGAGTAATGAACTTTAAAACATGAGAGGGTACCGTCTAACGACTCCAGTTTGTCAATAAACGTTTTTTCCCACTCCAGAACCTTGTCGTTTTCTTTTTCATCGCCTAAGTCACTCATTAGATACACCATTTGCAGCGCTGTGGCTTTTAAGAAAGTTCCATCTTTCTTTTTAGTTGCGCCACCAAAAGTACGATTAAAATTGTAGGAGAAAGTCCGGCCATTCCGCGCCAAAGGGCGTGAGCTGTTGTATGCTCTCGATATTTCCCCTTGAACTTGTTCCAGGGTCATTTTACTATCGATTTTGCTCTCATTAAACTGCAAAAATTCCAGCGGGCTAATTATCATGCAGTCGTCCTGCGTCTTCGCCTTGTCCCCTGATAGTGTGACACAGAATTCAGAGTATGATTGTAACTCCATAACAGCATGATGTGCCTTGAAGGCCTGCCGCAGACAGTCAGGAACGAGAACATTGCGATCATCAGAAGATGCTGTTAAAAGGACGATTTCTTCGCGAATTTTAACTCGAAAGTATTTCTCGGCTTTGTCTAAATCATTAATAGAACGGCTGCTTTGAGGAACAAATAGCTTTACTGTTCTGTTTTCTGCCTTGAACCAGACAAAACCCACGGAACATATACTGACGAACACGAGACATATTGAGATGGTAATTAGCGGATGTTTAGCGATTCCTTCGCCGAACCAACCAAAAAATCTTTCCAATAGACGCATATACCACCTGCAGAAACTTGACCACCAGTAACATGGGCTGAACTTGGATTGACAACAACAACTACGAAGGAAAAAGAAAATAAATTGGGAAATGTTTTACATCAAATGTGTTCTCATATTAAAATTTTTCTGTTTAAAAAGTCTACAAAATAAGGAAAATTAAACTTTCTCAAATCTTTACGAAGAGTAACCTTAATATAACCACTAACGGTGGTGCTGGTTCTTTTGATCCTTATATTGTAACAACGGTGCTTTGAGACGACACTAATCGATCATGAAAAAGTTATAAAGCGTTCTATGGCTGAAAAGAATAAGACGATAAAAATTCTAAAATCGTACGAGCATAAAAATGCAGTTGTCTTGCAAAACTGATGGGGCAATTTATATAATTATGCCTAAAAGAATCTTACATTTTATTCGGGAAAGTGTAAGAAGTGTTAGCGGTGTGCTTTTCATCAGAGACGAAATGAAGGTGTTCTCCGTCTGCAGATTCCCAAAAGTAGTAAGTTTCTTGTGAGGAGAATCCGCTGAGAAAAGTCGAACAAGGTAACCGCCGGATTGTTGAGGCTTCGCAATTTGCACATCTCCCATAATACACTTTGTTCGCTCCCAAACATTTTGCATAAGCATTGCCATCAATTTCTCTTAGGACGACTTTTAATACCCAAGAGAAATTAAATACAAAGGTCGTACAAATTTTTTGGGGGGTGTGGGGAAAGGGGGGGGGGGGGGGGGGAGGGCAAACAAGGTGAATTTTGGGAGCTGTGCAAGTAGCGAATAAGAGAGTTCCCAAAGACAATCATAATTCGGAGCGACTAGATTATAAATCACTAGAACCGCTGTCACATGCTAGCAAATTTTTGTTTGTTCGATTTGTTAACACGACAGTCAATCATGAACATTCAGTATCCAATTGTCACTTTGCAGTAGAGGCGGACATGTTGGTTGACAAAGACGAAAGCATTTCCCTCTGCGGGGAGCTAGACTCATTCTTTCTTCAAAATCTGGCGAAAAGATGTGTCTTTTAAAAATCAAAATAGATTGATCGATGGGTAGATTCAAACCAAGAATATATGCAATACAGCAACAGACCTGAATAGTCCCAGTCGACAAGTAAAAATTTCAAAAACCATCTCGGACGGCAACTTACCGTATTTTCTCATTTTTAAAATCGTCAATGTATTTATACATAAAGCCGGACAAAGCCAGCGCTTAAGTGTGTCCTGCATATTAAACCCAAACTTAGAAACTCGAACATTTTGTTTGCGGTAACTGTTCTAGCCTGCGGATGTTTTCGCAGGCTATAACTGTTCAGTAACAGGACAAGACTTAAGTGTAACTTGAGCGTACCCGAAGTGGATGAAGTGGCAGGATATTCTAGGTTAAGCCGAGACTGATTCTGTTTCCGGCCAGCGATAAAGAATCCCCAAATCAGGTTTGGGGATTTGAGAAAATCTCTAGTCCATGTTCGCCTCAGCTTTGTTCAATGCCTTTGTCTGTCGTATTGAACTAAGTAAAGCAGACTTTTTCCGCTTTCGCTGAATCCATATTTACGGAAATATTTTTGCGGCATGCAATCAATCATTCTCAAAATAGGGATGAACTCAGACGCGTGCACTCCACTCGATAATTCAATCAATCATTTCAGGCTAGCTAGTTGCCCAGACTGGTTCCACTCTTCGTCTCCACAGAGAAACTTTTCGACTTTCCAAGGCGTAATTTGGCTCGTCTATTTGCATCCTAACGTCTTGTGCAGACTAATGGCTATGGAGGTCTGTTTAGACACCCGACACGAGAATAGCCAGAGGTAGGTCACTCAGCACTATTTCATGCCGTACAGTTTGTAATTCATTTGTTGCGATCTTACTAAAAAATAAGGATCAGTTTTCAAGTACATTCAAACATATGTAGGTCGCAACCTTGTTTTGCAAAAATGTTAATCAAAACTCAAACGCTCCGTTTAAAAATTTTCCTTCACAAATTTTCCGTCACAAGGAAATTTAAATATCGTGTGACGGAAAGCTGGATCGTATAACTTATGCCCTCTTGATCACTTCGTGTTGCCGCAGGCGCTCGGAGGAATACGAAATTTCGACGATTATGGACAAAATAAACCTCTCGAGACAACTCAAAAGCCGCCCGCAGCCGGCCGAAAAAAGTGGTTGGCGAAAACACACAAACCAGTAGTTTATCGGAGAATACAACTTGGATTATATTCAATTTGTAAATCTGAGATCGCGGTAAATCACAATGATGCACCCAGGACTAGGAAAATAGGCTGCAATGTTCTCGTAAATTGCTGGACAGTAAATTGATCATAAAACCTCGTAGTGAGGGTAGTTCAAATGAATAACAAGCCAGATTAATGTTTCAAAGATGTTTTCGAGGATGCTTGGCGAATTAAAAATAAAAAAATACCAACAGATACCTGTGGTGTACGGCGTTGTTTCTTGTTGTTTCTCCGTCGGACTGATAGCAAATCGCTTCTTCGCGTCTTGTTGCCATTTTGGAAAGCTAAATCTCTTAAGTTAATATCATGGTCTCTACATATTTCTCAGTTGCAACGAAGCGTTTCGCTCATGAGATTTGACCATTTTCATCGACCTTTAAAGTAGGCTGAAGCAGTTGCTAAAACACACATCGTCCTTGACACATTGGAGAGCCTATATCATTCTTTATGCAAATTTCTGTTCAAGAAAAACAATGTTTACGCAGACTAGCTCTCCATTGGATAAGATGATGGCGGTGTTAATTCCTTAGATTAACATTAGTAGCGTGATTAAAATAAAGTGACAGTTTCTTAAAGCAAAAGTGTCGGGTCCTACAGAAAGAGACGAGTCTTAATAGTTGTGACGCAGCTGCACAGCATATAACTAAAAACAATAGAACCGTATTATTCAAGTAACCATTTTTTCTTTCTTTCGCACGAATTACATTAATATACTTCAAACACTAAAAGAGGGTATAAAATACAACGAAAAGATAAAAAGGGATAAGATATCTTTCTAAGAGGCTGCAGGGAGCGATTAAACTGGTCTGATTACAATCTCATTGGGACGGCCAAATTAGTTGGCTTGAATGATAGAGGTGACTGCTTGATAGAGGGTCTCAATGGGGTTAACCGATAGGCGTAAAACGGCCAAAAATTTAGTCGATAGCTGTAAAAATTAAAAATTAGCCGTAAATAGGGTAAAAAGAGTTAACCGTAAGAGAAATTGTTCCCTGGCTAGGTTTGTTAATTTAACAAGGTGTTAAACTAACTTTTTTATGGTTACGTTTTTTATATACTTCCCGGCTACTTTGACTCCTTACGCACGTTTAATAGGCCACGCGCCTAGCTTTTAGGTGTTGACCGAGACCTAAACTCTATTTTCGTCGCTCTGTCGGAGAACTAATTTTTTCCATAGCGAAAATCTGGCTTCTTGCCGGGGATTAATATTTGCGATTTTCAAGAGGTCGAGCCCTCGAAATACTAGTGAAACAACACGCAGAGATATGTCACTGTTTGTAAAACACATTGCCGATAAACAACAATTCCCTGTTTTTCTCTAACGCCACGGTAGACATTGCCATGTCTAGTTCTTGTATTAAAGGCGTCTTCCCACGCAATCTAGTTCAAAGCATTTCGGTGGCGTATCTGAGAAAAAAACTCGCTCGGACGACGTGACCCGAAACTCATTAGCCGCGCGAAACAATGAGGCCTACGGACAAGGCAACAGGAGACTGAAGTCTTTCTGTACAGTCTTTCGCTATCATTAAAAACACTGGACACGGGAATTTTGTTATTGACTGTTTTCACAGTAGAGCTAGAAATAAATCTTCCGTCTGAGACTAGCCTGTGTGCAGACGCTCCCTCCCCCACAGACACCCCTTTTCCGATTTTTCCTTATTGGAGGAGGCGCCTGTACACAGGCTATCAGAAGGGATAATCCATATCCAAACTGTCCGTCAAAATTGACGAATAAAGTCAGGTGGATTGTTCATTCAAAATTAAAACCATTCCGTTTTGAGACTAAGACGTATTGCTTATCTGACGCGAATTATCAAACGGATATCCCGTCTCACGCGAATCACCGGCGAATCTTGAACTATAGATATTTAATCGTTTTTGCTTGTGTTGGCAATGAGATCAACCGCAGACTGTAATATGTTTCTTTTTAGACGGCACTGAATTATTTTTCCTGAATTCTGTTAGATACCGCGCTCTTAATTAATTAGATTTCTCACCCTAGGATGATGACATGATTGCGTGAAAATTGACGTCTCTATCATATGAGATGAGCAATACGATAAGAGATTAATGGAATAGGGAATGTTGCAAGCTACTGGGTATCCAGCTGAGATAGCTGACTTTTACTCAGCTATCTCAGCTGGATACTGAGGGGTTTTTTGGTTGCTAAAATCGTGCGGCTCGTTATGGGCGTAGAAAGTTGTGAAGGCTGCTCTTCGACAAGGTACGTAATCTATACGATAACGCTTTACGCAGTATTATTACTTTTTGATTTCTTCGTCGTACTTTGAAATGACCCCTTTCACGTCAGTACAGCTGTTGATGTGATCTGCAAAGGTAAAGTGATATCTAGTCTTAGTTGGAACCGCGTGTGTCGCGTCGAAAATTACGTAGTTGTGTAGGGAAAACGATGTGATGAACCTGCACGCAGATTGGTTTAAGCTACGTCGGTAGCTCGGAACCCGTTGACAAAATCAACAATATACAGTGACGGAAAAACAAACAGAGCACAAAGACGTGTTTGGCCTTGCAAGAGACCTTAAGATACATTTCTGTCTCTTAATGTGCTTGCTGACTGTTTCTTATTCGTTCGTGTTTTGTATTGCGTGATATCGAAACATCAGACTATTTGATTCATGTCGTAAGGGTGGGCGCCTAATCCTAATACCGTTTTACTCTCGAGATGAATTAAGCTTGTTTAATGTTGTCGCCAAACTGATCACATACTGATTCAGAAGCTAATTAGCGTACAAAATCAAACTTCCCTTTGGCTCATTTCAGTAGAGTTTGCTTACACTGTTACCTGTATGACTCGTTTCAAGTGTGGAAAAGACTT